TGGTTTGCTGGAGTCCCAAAGCCTTAGAAATGTCTTTATGATCCTTTCCAGACTGATACATGTCAACTGTTTTGTTTCTCATCTGTTCTTGAATTTCTTTAGATCGCGGCATGATGTGTTGCTCTTTAAGCATGCTTCACTTTGTCAGACAGGTTCTATTTAAGTGATTTCTTGATTCAACAGGTCTGGCAGTAATCAGGCCTGGGTGTGGCTAGTGAAATTTAACTCAGCTCTCTAAAATAATGTGGTTAATTGCAGTTCATTCATGATTTAACAGGAGGGGGCAATTCATTTTTCACGTAGGGCCACGTAGGTTTTTTCCCTTAATAAATGAAATCATCATTTAAAAACTGCATTTTGTATTTACTTGCATTATCTTTGTGTAATATTTAAATTTGTTTGATGATCTGAAACATTAAAGTGTGACAAACATGCAAAAAAAATAAGAGATCAGGAAGGGGGCCAACACTTTTTCACACCACTGTATATTAACCTCATCCGTCTCACCTGTCCAGGTGTTCCCTTCCCCAAGAACTTCATGTCTGTGGCCAAGACCATCCTGAAGCGTTTGTTCAGAGTTTATGCTCATATATATCATCAACACTTTGACGCAGTCATGCAGCTTCAGGAGGAAGCTCACCTCAACACGTCTTTCAAACACTTCATCTTCTTTGTGCAGGTGCTGTCACTGCTTTATTCTTATTATGAACGTCTTTAAAAGCGCCTGCACAAGCAATAAACCACAAGAGGTATTTCAGAGTCCCTAAAACATGGCCTAAAAGTGGCTTACAGCTTTTATTATATGGCAGCAATAGCAATCTGATAAAAGATAGCAATTAATAATAATCAAAATAACTAATTTATTAGTCTAAATGTAGGCTTCTTACAGTTGTCAAGCAACTTGCTGCATTTAATATAGTATTCAAATGATATGGGATCAGCAGTTTGTGTATAATGTCTGTAAAAATGCTTTTGTGATGGTCATAAATTTGTGTTTTAGCTGTTGCATTGCTCATCTAACTATATTGAAATTAACTCTTAATTGAAACAAACTCTTAATTTTTTTGGAAGAAATTAATACTTTTATTCATGATGGATGCATTAAATTGATCAAAAGTGACAGTAAAGACATTAATATTGTTACAAAAGATTTCTTTAAATAAATGATGTTTTCCCCCAAAATAGTAAGCAGCACAACTGTTTTCAACATTGATAATTATCAGAAATGTTTCTTGAGCCACAAATCAGCATATTAGAATGATTTCTGAAGGATCATGTGACACTGAAGACTGGAGTAATGATGCTGAAAATTCAGCTTTGAATCACAGGAATACATTTTACAATACATTCAAATAAAAAAATGGTTATTTTAGATTGAAATAATATTTCACAATATTACTGTTTTGAATGTGTTTTTGATCAAATAAATGCAGCCTTGGAGACTTCTTTCAAAAACAATACAAATTCTTACCAATTCTAAACTTATGGACTGTATTCTTGAATTTTCAATTCAACAAATTATTTTGTACATTTTTAGGAGTTTAACTTGATCGACCGTAAGGAACTGGCGCCTCTTCAAGAGCTAATTGAAAAACTCACAACGAAAGACAGATAAACTGAGACAAGGAGGGGAAAAGAAGTTAACAATGAAGAAACCGTGATCCTGCTCTCTCTTCTGACTCTCCTTTCTATCTTTTGCTTTGTAATGATGATTTTAACCCCACGGCATTGCTAGGTGAACCATAGTGAAGTGAAGGAACTGCACAATACTAATATTTCTAAATAGATCAAACCTGATTTTTGGCATTTGATGACAAAATGTTGCCTGATGAAATGGTTACATATGATTTCAAGTCCTTCACATTATTGGTTTAGTTCGGTCACTGAAAGGGAGGGATTTTGTCCTATGAGAATTGAACTTAGTACAGACTACAGTGATCCGGTATGCTGCCTGTGTTGGCAGTGAATAGGTGATTCGCTTTCTTTGACTAGTGTGAATGTTAAAGCAGCGGTTAATAAACAGAACTGCACACATCCCGCGGAAGAACATTCCAACCGGAGCTACTTCTCTAAGTTTATGTCTATGGCGATTCACGCAGGTATGTGTTACTCCGCAGCGGTGACGACCCGACCAGGCTACTATAGTCCAAATATAAGTCCTTATTATAAGCAGTGTTGGGGGTAATATATTACAAGTAACGCGAGTTACGTAATCAGATTACTTTTTCAAGTAACTAGTAAAGTAACGCATTACTTTTTAATTTACAAGAGAATATCTGAGTTACTTTTTAAAATAAGTAATGCAAGTTACTTTTTTTTTCCAATTTATTGATTGACAGCTCTTGTGTCGCCATGTTGAGAGAAATCAGAAGATGTTACTGTAGTTCTAAAATTAATATGAATATGCATTAATTCATCTCGCTTACAAAAAAGAAAAAACTCAGATTCAGTATTCCTCAAAATGAATAAAAATAATGAAACTCCAAATATGACGCAAACCTGCAATAATTAAATGTTAAACAACACAAATATCCTTTATGTATTTAATCCCATTCTATTAAGCAATGTCTTTGCTTCTGACCTGATGATCCAGTTCAAGCGTACTAATAAGCACAACCGTACTAATAAGCACAAATTACTCTAGACAAACATTTGTGTCTTTTTTTATTTCTGAAGTGTGTTGAAATTTCTTCTTCTGCATTCTACTGTACGGACATAAATGTACTTTCCCTTCAGCCTGAGGCTTATTCATTTCACTTTAGGTGTATAAAGGCTTTTATATTTGCCAAAAATATAACTTTTTTATTTTAAAAACAAACAAGCAAGCCCTGTCCAGACTTAAAAAGTAACGCAAAAGTAACGTAACACATTACTTCCCATAAAAAGTAACTAAGTAACGTAATTAGTTACTTTTTTATGGAGTAATGCAATATTGTAATGCATTACTTTTAAAAGTAACTTTCCCCAACACTGATTATAAGTGTACCGTAGTGACTCAGAATAAGACAAAAATGCGGTTTGGAAGATGAATTCATGATGTATTCGCTCATTATATACATTTAGCAAATTTTGAACACATAGTGCTGCTTTGAAAGACGTTTGATTCTTCAATGCTGTAATGCTGACAGCAAAAAAGATGGAGTTAAATAGCTTAAGTCAGTTTTCCTATGCAATAATGATCTTATTATTTGTCTTCACTGATGTTACTGGACAAAATTGTTCCATATCAGAGCTTGTTTCTTCACAATATATTTCATATTTACTATCGGTCACTATGAAGTATTTGAGCCAGGTTTTGAATAATAAATATGACATGTTGGACCCAGATGGCTGATGGGAAGTGTTGGCCTTGAATTGATATCTTCTGCCATGCGTCTAAGAGACAAAAATAAATATATGATAACAGCTCAGAGTCTCTGATAAGATATTTGCTTTGCTCAAGCTGTTTCAGTTTAGTTAATTTGTCGTAAAAGCATTGAATTCGTGCAACTGGGTTGCCAAACCTTTCTTAAATATTTAAACCTGTTCAATTATTTAAAGCATTTCATTTGCACCCATTCGAAATATACTTACTCACACAGTTCTGAAATATTCAGTACGTTGATGAATTTATCTTTATTGTTTGGTTGTATTAGTTGTTAAGGTTAGAAATATTGCAGCATTCGGTTCTGAAGTAAATGATTGTGGGTTTATCTCCATTTTAACTTATTTTTCATCTCCGTTCTTCTATTAACACTTTTATGGTTGTTTTAAAAACCTTAGATTTACGTTCCTTTTGAAGTTATATTGTTTCACGAATGTAATAGTTTTACTTCTAATGGTTTGGACTATGCTATAGTGTGAAACAGTGCCAACCGCTGATTAATATCAGACAGATGTGAAGTATTTATAAAGCTTTTTTGTCACTGAAATGAGGATATATTTTCCCTGAACTGTAACATAATTAGGGTAGATTAGATATGTAAATACATGCACACGATTTCCTGATATTGTTCTAGTTTACATGAATAAAAAATATCACTGATGTTATTTTTGCTGTACATAAAGCAAATAAAACCCTTCTCAACATTTTACGTATATTTATGGTTTATATTTATATATTATGTTTTTTTTCGCATGTGTGTGTAAAATGAAAAAACTGTTTTCAGGTAAATTAACCTTTTATTGTTTTTATAAATTACTATATAATTTTTTTTACAGCCATTCGTTCTCATATGTATTTTTAAAGTAATAATAATAATGAAGTGTTGTTGTGTATGTAAAGCACGTGAGGTTTGAGAGCAGCTGTTTCCGGTGGGAGGAGCTTGAAGTTTAAGCGCCAGAATTTAAGAATTGAATGTCCCGCCTGTTTCTCTGCTAACTGACTGTAACTGTACAGAGTGTTATTGTACAATATTGCATGAAGATAAAATGTCTCCCACTGCCAAACGAGCCTGTCCCAGTCCTCTGAACGACAGCCTGGAGAAAAGACTGAAACGCATCTCCATTGAAGGAAACATTGGTAAGTCATTCGGTGTTTTTTGTCAGTAGTGTAAGCTTATTTCATTGCTGGACATAACCATCGAATGCTACAAATCCAGCTTTTATAGGGTTACAATTGCTTTTCACATAGATTTATGCTAATGCGATAGCTGTTCTTACTTTTATGAAGAAAATAAATATTTATTGATTTGTCCTTCTTGATTTAAGAATTTTTAGATATTCTGGCTGGAAACAAGACAAAAAAAACATTTTTTTTTTTGCAGTGCAGGATTTACAAACTGGAAAGAAAGATTGCGGAGAATGCTTTTATCAGCAATACTAGCTAGTTATTACAAACCTGTGTTATTTTAGTATTGTGGTAGCAGTTTACAATAATATTCTGTTTGTTAATATTAATTAACTGCATAGTAAACATGAACTAAGAATGAAAATACTTCTAAAACCTTCATTAATCTTAGTTAATTTCAACATTTACTAATACATTATTAAACTCAAACGTCGTATTTGTTCATATTGTTTAAAGGACCTGAGCTAACATGAACTAACAGTTGTATTTTTTAGGGATGCACGATATATCGGCCACCATATCGGTATTGGCCCATATCGGCTCATTTTTTCTGTTATTGGTATCGGCCTGATAAGAAAATTTGGCCGATATCTTAAAGCCGATAAATAATGCATTATTTCCTTCAGAGACACTTCAGATGTGCGCTGTTCGTTTGCAGCCTTTTGTGCAATTGTACGTTGTAATATTGTGTTTATTTGATGTATATCTGATTTATCTCATATAGAATGCGTTTGGTTAAGTTAAAAGAGCGCTTCAGTTTACCGGTGATCGTCTTTAGCTCAGCGCACGCAGCTCAAACAGCAGTGCACAACATTAATAACTATGATTGGGAATGTCGTGTATATAACATTCTAATGAGAACATTATTATAATAAAACGTTGTGAATTCTTTGTGTTTAGTTGCTGTGTTTCAGTGCGTTGTTATGGGAAGAGCGCATCCACAACAGGATCACACATTCTGACTATAGCATGCAATAACTGCGTCATTTTGTACATATATAAGTTGTAATATTATGTTTATGTTGTATTAATATTAATTTCAGGATGCATTTCCTTGAGTTAAATAAGCTGCCAGCAAAACGCTTCAGTTTACCGTGTTCATTCAGCTCTTCAGCTTCAGCACGTGCAGCTCAATGGCTGCTATTTAAAACAGTGGTATTAATTTGTTACTTTTTCAAAATCATTGATATATTATTAATAACAACAACCACTTGTATTTTTCTCTTATTATTTTCATCAACAATATGGTTTAGTAATTAAAATCATTTAATTATTGTCCGTGCAGAGTCTATTCCGTTTTATTGATCTATGGCGCATTCATTTTGATTCTTTACACGTGTAATGATGTCCAGTGACTTGTTTGCATTATTTATGCATTATTTTATTTATTTGTAAGACTTTTTTATGACTAAATTTGGTAATGGGAGAGTAAAAATATTTTTAAAACGTACACCGTTCAAACTAGGCTGCTTATGTTGAAGTGTTTGGGATGTGGCTTTTAATGATGAGACCTTTTTTGTAATCAGGCTCTCAAAAAGTATATAACAATTTGGATATAGATTTATCGGCCAACATATCGGTTATCGGCTTTCAAAAATAAAGAATAATCGGTTATCGGTATTGGCCAAAATTTTCATATCGGTGCATCCCTAAATTAAACCTATATTAGCACATTCCTTTTCTAAATGTCACTGTCCCCTTGCTTTCTGTGAAGCAGACTAATCACACTTTAACAGATGATTTATAATGTCTATATCTGTTATGTGTCTTTTTATTAAGAGTTTATCGGTCCTTGCATTGTGCAAACTATTGCATCAGTGTTATTTTAGTATTTTTTTAGGGATGCTATTATAGTTTTTATTAATATTTTAAATTATTCTTTATTTTTATTGTTTTTGATGATCATTATTTTTTTTTTATGTCTATATAGTTTTGAATAGTTTTTTAATTTTAGTTTTAGTACATCAAGTTAAATGAAGTGAAAATAAGAAATGTTGCCTCAGCAGCTAACTGAAATAAAATAATAAAATTTTTCTTTAATATGTATTTTTTTACATTTTATTTCAAGTAACAATTTTTCAAAATGGTTTTTAATAGCTAACTATAATAATCCTGTATTGCTTTTAACATAGGTTTAAAATTGGGATGTGTAAATTAACCATGTTGATCAATATTGGATATTTAGTCTTTTAAAATTTAACAATATATAATATTATATGATTTATGTATATAAATCTATACATATATAAGATGTAGGTAGATATGTGTATATAGACCATTAATAAATAAACATACAAAAAATAACAATAAAATGAATTGATCAATATTTGTATATATTTAACAGCCATATTATATATATATATATATATATACATACATAATATACATACAGTCGTGGCCAAAAGTATTTTTTGGTACATTTTGTAATTGCTAAATGTACAGCTTAAGCTGTTATAGTGTTTATTAACATTGTTTCTAGATTATCTTACTGCCAATACATGTAGAAAAAATGTGAATGAACACCACAACAGTTTAAGTAGCAAATTTTGCAAAACACAAAATTTGTGTCACTGCCAATACTTTTGGCCACAACTGTATATAAATATATATATAACTATCTTAATTTCTGTGTGGAATTGACATACAAAGATTGGATGCCTAACAAATGTAGACCAATATAACGTGTATGTATACGTTCAGGAATTGACCACCTCTCAGAAGAGTGGAGGAAATGTGCTGCAGATGATGTACGAGAAGCCCGATCGCTGGGCCTACACCTTCCAGAGCTACGCCTGCATGAGCCGCATCCGCTCGCAGATCAGATCCACCAACGGAAAACTGCGAGAGGCCGAGAATCCAGTGCAGTTCTTCGAACGATCCGTGTACAGCGACAGGTAGACTGCACCTGGTATTAATATCCGTTATCAAATGGGACATGCATCTGAAATGCATCTCCTCCTTTCGTTGATGAAGGGTCTGTGATTGTTATACAACCGTCATTATGTCACAAAGTCAAATAAATAGAAATATCAACTAATCGGCTTACTTTAATCACTTTGATTGGTGTGTTGCAGGTACATCTTTGCCTCTAACCTCTATGAAAGTGAGTGTGTGAATGAAACAGAGTGGGCGATCTATCAGGACTGGCACAGCTGGCTGCATAAGCAGTTTGGGAAGCACATTGAGCTGGACGGCATCATTTACCTGCGGGCAAAACCAGAAGTATGAACGCAAACCCAGATGGGGCCTTTAAAGTGATTCTGCTGTGCTGTGAAAAAGAGTAAACAAGGCCATTTTGTGTTACAGAGGTGTTTGGAGCGATTGTATTTGAGAGGAAGAGACGAGGAACAGGGAATTCCACTGGAATATCTGGAGAAACTTCACTATAAACATGAGAGCTGGTTACAGCACAGGACTATGAGGTAACGCACACACTACATAACACCAGCCATTATAATATCTTCATTCATGGAAGTACCAAAGTATCACTATGTTTGACATCCTTATAAAAAAGAAAGTTGTTTTAAATTATTATACATTTATTTTATTTTATTTATTAATAAATATTATGATAAATATATTTTTATGTAATATATTTACTTGTCTAAGAATGTAAAATGTAGCACGATGATACAAAAATAAATTATTTAAAACAAAAACTATATATATATATACACGCATATATAAATTTTTTTATTAATTTACATTAAGATATTAAATGTAATGATGAGAATACAAAAATGTATTATTATATATTATTGTTATTATTATTTTATTAATTTATTTATTAATTTACATTAGATTGATTAGAATTTTAATATTAACTAAGTTCAAATATTGAAAAATATATCCTTAAAGTAAAAAATATTTAATTTTATTAATTTACATTTAGATTTTTTGTTAACTTTTTTTAAATATGTAAAGTAATTTACATTAAACTGATATATATATATATAAGGATGTAAAATGTAGTAAGATAAAAAAAGAATTTAAATTAATTAATTATTAAAAATAAATGAATTAATCACCCTGTGCGTGTGTGTGTGTGTGTGTGTGTGCAGTATGGAGTTTGAGTATCTGAATGAAGTGCCGGTTCTTACCCTGGATGTCAATGATGATTTTAAAGACGACAAGATCAAGTGTGCTGATATGATCGAGAAGGTATGACACACACAGTAGAAAAAAAAGTGAATTCTGTTGGTTTTTACTCGCCCTCATTATGTTTGCTAGTCCTTGGAATGACATGAGGGTAAATATGAGTAAATAATGAATTTACATTTTTTTCGTTAAGTTAATCTAGCATATCACCCAGAGCATGTGTTGAGTGAACGTTTGAACAATGTTTGTCAAATGTGGCGGAACTAAAGTTGCATCTTATGATGAGGGTGCAATACAGGGACCATTATATACTCTAGAAATTGCATATTATACATGGTTTATACTCTAGACACACACACGTTGTAGCTTCATACATATTATACCCACTGTGGAACACACCATTTCTTTGCATGCACATGGATGCTTTACACAGTGCAGTAATAAATGTATTAAAGTGAAATATGAGGACAGTTTCAGTTTAAAAGTTGATTTAATATTTTTTTTGTCTTCCCCAGGTGAAAGAATTTCTGAGCACCCTGTGATTACGATGAGAAAAGGTGCATGTTGGACAGAATAATTTAACATTGTTTTTTTTTTTTTTTTTTTAACCATGAACTTTTGTGTGAAATGGCAAAATATGAAAGTAGTGTCCATTTAGTGCTTATCAATGTTTTTTTGTAATTTAAATTTGTTTACTTCTGATGAATTAAATAATTTTTTTAAATAATTTTAAAGAACAAATATAAGTCTTCTGCTCACCAAGGCACCATTTATTTGATCAAAAATACAGTAAAATCAGTAATATTGTGTAATATTATTACAATTTAAAATAACTGTTTTCTATTTGAAAATATTTTAAAATGTAATTTATTTCTGTGATCAAAGCTGAATTTTCAGCATCATTACTCCAGTCTTCAGTGTCACATGATCTATCAGAAATCATTCTAAAATGGTAATGTGCTGCTCAAGAAACATTTAATAGTATTCAGTGTTGAATGTCACATGATCCTTCAGAAATCATTCTAAAATGGTAATGTGCTGCTCAAGAAGCATTTAATAGTATTCAGTGTTGAAAACAGCTGTGCTGCTTCATATTTTTGTGCAAATTGACATTTTTCAGGATTTTTTTGATGAGTATAAAGTTCAAAAGAACAGCTTTTTTATTTTTTATATATCATTTGTAACATTATAAATGCCTTTACTGTCACTTTTGATCAATTTAATGCATCCTTGCTGAATAAAAAAAAAAATATATATATATTGATTTTTATTTTTATTTTTTAAATCTTACTGACCCCAACTTTTGAGCGGTAGTGTATATATATATATATGCAACAATTGTGCTTTAATCAAAGCATTCTTTGTGTGGCTTTAAAGGAATAGTTTACCCAAAATCAGCTGAATCATCATTTACTTTCCCTCATGTCGTTTCAAGGCCGTATGCTGGAGCTGCATGAGGGAGAGTGAACACTTGAGAGTTTTTGGGAAAGCTGTTCCTGTAAATGAGCACAGGTGTGTGCTGCTGATATTCCTGAACGGCCAGTAGGTGGCGTAGTTCTACAGCGCTTTAGAAACAATACAATACTATTCCTTGAGATGAGTATAAAGTTCAAAAGAACAGCTTTTTTATTTTTTATATATCATTTGTAACATTATAAATGCCTTTACTGTCACTTTTGATCAATTTAATGCATCCTTGCTGAATAAAAAAAAATATATATATATATTGATTTTTATTTTTATTTTTTAAATCTTACTGACCCCAACTTTTGAGCGGTAGTGTATATATATATATGCAACAATTGTGCTTTAATCAAAGCATTCTTTGTGTGGCTTTAAAGGAATAGTTTACCCAAAATCAGCTGAATCATCATTTACTTTCCCTCATGTCGTTTCAAGGCCGTATGCTGGAGCTGCATGAGGGAGAGTGAACACTTGAGAGTTTTTGGGAAAGCTGTTCCTGTAAATGAGCACAGGTGTGTGCTGCTGATATTCCTGAACGGCCAGTAGGTGGCGTAGTTCTACAGCGCTTTAGAAACAATACAATACTATTCCTTGAATTTTAAGTCATCATTTCATGTCGTAAATTCTAAAGAACTGAGGGATTCACAACCATTACTCAGGATTTTTAAGTACATAACTTTTTCATTAAATATGTGACAACTTGAACTGGATGACATTCCTGGAGTTTTTCTAAATGATTTGGAACATTCTACTAAATGCTGAATAAGTCTACAGTACCGAATAATTGTATGTCTGCAATTATCAGGTGCTCAAGAATCACGTTTATCTTTAAGGGTTTCATGGTTATGTAAATGTAATCAAAGCATTCAAGGAAAAGTCATGGTATTTCTAATAGATAGATAGAATGTATGTTATTGATTTAATTTACATATTTAAATTCATATTACTAAGTATCAAAGATTGATTGAAGTCATGTTACAGAAATAAAACTTTTATGATACTTTTATGACACTTTCATGCTTCACCTCATCGAAATGTATATTTATGATTATATATATCATGTATAATATTCTATATAGGTTTATTGCATGCTAAAGTCATGTTACACTGCATAAAAATAACTTTTATGACACGTAAGCGTATTTAATTGAATGTGTATGCTGTTTATATTGCAGAGAGGCCGCATGTGTCCTAACTGAAGTGCAGTATTTTTCAGATGTATTCGGACTGTCCACTCGTGTGGTCAGTGTTTCGGTGCGGATGCAGGTATTCACTGTTGCATCTCACATGCTGACCTCTCGTGTCTCATCCTCCCACTGCTGCGTCACGCTGGAGGAGGGCGAGATCTTTAAATATGGAACAAGACTCGAGTCGAGCGCGACGCGGGCAGGTTTACGCGCAACGTGGAGCGTTTTCCGACGGGACGGAGAGAGTTCGTGAGCCTGTTGCGTTATGACTGCTGGAGTGACTGAATGTACTGTAGTTCGTAGACGCAGCAGCGAATTATCTCTGGCTCCAGATAAACTGAAGTGAGTCTCTGTATGTGTTCCTGCTTTTACGCATCCAGACACGCTGAACTTGGAGCGAATTCGCACTTGCGCATATTTTGGAAGCGTTTCTGAAGCCCGGACGCACTTTAATTCAGCGGAGGAGAAGAGGACGCGCACGGCACGGTCAACATGAGCGACAAAAACAAGTGAGTACTTTTATTTGCATGTTATCTTCCCATTCGAGATCAGTTGTGTCTCCATAAGTGGGTCGAGAACAGCCCTCCCACCCTGAATCTGTCCTGCTTCTTCAACAAAAAGTAAAGGTGTAACAGTATCCTTCAGGACAGAGCAACAGATCTGCTCCGAGTCTGTGCGGTCAGGGCTTCAAGTTTCAGGGACGGAGGTTATTATCTATTAAAGACATTAAACTGGGCTTTTGCATACGTTTGACAGCTCATGAACATCCTTAATGTTCAAACTTCGTAATGGTTTCTTGCACTCTAATAGGTTCTAACAAGAACCACAAATGATAACTCTTAAAAATAAAGATCATCTGGTTCCATGAAGAACCTTTAACATCCATGGAACCTTTCCATTGCACTAAAAGTTTTTAGAGTGAGGAAAAATGGGTTCTTTAGTTGTTCTTTTAGGAACCGCTTTCTGAAAATGTATTTGGGGAACCTGAAATGTTTCTTTTATGGTTCTCTTTTGGATTCTTTATTTTTAAAAGTGTAGGAGAGCGATTTGAGGTTCTACAGAGAACTTTTTGTTCTTCAGTTTTTTAAAACATCTGTGAATTTGGTGCTTCAGAAACCAATATGTTGAGCTGAAAAGCTGTTCTTGATCAACAAGAAGAACCAAAAGTGTTTAATTCCGCCAGAGAACCGGTTTAGTTTTCATGGTCACCTTTTATTCTCTACTTCTTTACAAACCATATGAACTTGGTGCTTCAGAACCCCGAAAACAGTATGCTGAACCTTAGAGAGCCAGAAACTCTTCTTTGTCAGCAACAAGAACCAAAAGTCTTTAATTCCATCAGAGAACCTGTTCAGGTTCCACAACCATTTTATTCGCTACTTCTTTAGAAATACATCCATGTATTGATAATTTAGAGCCCAGAAATGAATATGATGATCTGAACAACTCTAGATAATCAAAAACCATTTTGCATGAGAACAAGAACCTGCAATGAACATCAAGAGCTTTTTGGCAATCATAATCATACATTGTAGGAGAGTCATTTGAGGCTCTACAGAGAAACCGTCTGTGTAATTATTGCTTCAGATCCCAGAAACCAATATGCTGAACCTTAAAGAGCCAAAAATGGTTCTTGATCAGCAACACAAATCAAAACTGTTTGTTTAATTCCATCAAAAATCTTTTTTAGGTTTCACAATCACTTTTTGTTCTCTGCTTCTTTAGAAAAGCATCTGTGTATTGCCAATTTAGAGCTCAGAAATCAATATGCTGATCTGAAAAACCAACAAAGGCTCTCCAAAGAACCAGTTCAAGAAATCTAGATAACCAAGAACTATTTTGCTTAAGAACAAAAACATACAATGGAACATCAAGAGCTTTTTGGCTCTCAGAGAACTTTTTATTCTTCAGTTCTTTAAAACATCTGTGAACTTGGCGCTTCAGAGCCCAGAAACCAGTAGGCTGAACCTTAGAGAGCCAAAAACTGTTCTTGATCAACAACACGAACCAAAACTGTTTAATTCCGTCAGAGAACCTGTTTGGGTCACTTTTTTCTTTAACTTCATTATTAGAAAAATATGTATTTTAGAACCCAAAGGCTCCCCAAAGAATTATGTAGTAACTCAAGAGCCTTAGAAACCCAAGAACCAAAACTGGTTCTTGACTGAAGAACAAGAACCTGCAATGAAACATCAAGAGCTTTTTGACGCTCTGAAAAATCAAACCATTCTTGAACCAGAATATTTTAATAATCTAGAGAACCCTTTGTCCATTTGAAAGGTTCCATGGATGTTAAAGGTTCTTCATGGAACCAAAGATGCCAATAAAGAACCTTTATTTTTAAAAGTGTATAGCAAGTGAATGGTTCTTTGCTGAACCCAAGAATCACCTTTTTTTTTTTAACTGAATGAAATATCTCATTGGGGTCTCTAGAGGCCATTAGTAGGGGGTTCCACCACCGACTCATGATGTATGATGCAGTTCACTCTTTTCATTCTAATGTTACTGCCAAGTCGTGCTGCTTTAAGTCGCCCTCTTTACAGGTTCCCTAAAGCCACGGCTTGAGCGGTCAACGTAATCTTTTTCCAAGAAGCTCCTGTCAAAACCAATTAGCTCCTTAGTGTCCAGAAGCAATGCGTGCGTCGCTTAGCGTTCCAGAAACCGGTGGCTGGATATAATGCAGGGGATTCGATCTCCTTTTAGTTCAGTGCAGCATGTGCTGTCATAATAAAAGAGCCAGCTGCCTGCAGGGATCAGATTTTTTGACCAATAGGGCTCTTCAGATGTGAGTGGATGGGTCATGTGATGTCTGCTTTCTTATGCAGTGCTAAGGACATTTAGATTTTTACGCTTTAATAAGCACTAATGTTCATTACGGGTAAATTAACCCTCACTAACAGTACTGTGATGGTAGTTAATGTATGGTACTGGATGATTACCATATTCATATAGTATGGTATTTAAATGGTGAATACCACAGTATAACCACGGTGTCATGCCCACAAAAATGGCAATACCATGGTACTTTGATATCTGCAAACAAGTACTTAAAAATACCATTTTCCTTTGTACACATACCATGGAACTACCATGTTTTTGGACTTTTAGACCATAGTAGTACCAGTACAATGATATATTTCAAAGTACTATAGTAATACCATGGGATACCATTTTTTATGTATACTATGGTATTGGTACTCAAACAATACCATGGTATTATCTAAAAATGTGGTATTATCATGGTACATGTTTTAAAAAAAACAACAACAATTCCTGCTACTTTGAAGATTACCGAGGTATAACCATGTCTAAACGGTTTTTATTCATATTTTTATACTATTATATTTATGAATACTTTAAATTAGCTTTTTTATCATTTCATTTTAATTTGAGTAATTTTATGTTTGTCATTTTATTAGTTTTAGTTTTAATTTTCTTTATTTCAGTTTTATTAATATTAGTACTTCAACTTATTTATTCAGCTTCGTTATTATTATTATAATTATTCAATTTGAACTGTTACTCTTTTTTTTAGAATGTTTTTCATGTAATATTTATTTTTTTATTATTACCAACAAATAGTTTTTACTAGTTTTAGTTTTAGTTCCCAAGGCAACATTTATTTATTTTTTACTTTTTCCAATTATTTATTTATTTTAGTTTTAAGTAACAATAACAACACTTAGTTGCCAGGGCAATATTTCAATTTTTATTGAAGTTTAAGTTTTCATCTAATAATTATGTTTTCTTTTCATTTTAATTACCAAAAACTATTTTCACTAGTTTTAGTTTTAGTTAGTTCTGTTTTTTTCTGTAATTTTTTACTTTTTAAAATGTTTCATCTAATATTGATTTATTTTGGCTTTATTTTCATTACCAAACATTTTAGTTAAAGATAACAACACTGCTAAAAATCCACGATGAGATGGTACTTAAAAGTAGTGCAATACTGAATCTTTCACTATCTAAAGCTGTCAAATGATCCCACCACACCTGGAAGAACTATAAATAGCAAGGATTTCTTAAGAAAAATGTGTAAATGTTCCTCATTCCTGTTCTGGACACACACAGGCTTAACTGTATTTGTGTACGAGAGCGTTGCATAAGCGATCACTCTCACCTGTTGAGCTATGTGACTGCTCTTTCCCCTTCCATTGACTGTCTGAAGCACACAGACAGCACACAGCTTCCTGCTGTTTAGTGTCACCTGTGCAGGTATTGTGAAAGGAACTTTCATAGGAAGATAAGTGGAAAATGCAGTCACAGTGGAATGTCCTCAGTAGACTCTGCCCTCAGATATGCTCTCCATGACTCCTGATATCTCTTTTCTTCTCCTTGAGACTGAGGTCATCTGTGAGTGATGGACAGGAGCGACCCTGAGCCTGCTGGGATACAATAGCGATATGCTGTGTTCTGAAATAGGAAGATTTATGTATCAGACTGGATCTACTGTACGTGAACTTGAAGTTCTAGAGGTTTTGATGCAGACCTGCTGGTTTCACACGTCTATGGTGATAAATTCATGATTTAAAATGACTTTCATAAATCATGCACTTATTGTGTGTGATTCATCAGTGCATGTAGGAAAAAAGAAGTTTAATAATGTAACAACTTGCTTTGAAAGTGCTTTAATTTTCAGATGATGTCATCTAGGCCAAGTAGGCGGGGGAAATAGTTAACCAGTAGCAAAATAGCTATTTAAACATTGCTTTAGGCTGATGTTGTAAGTAATGCAGCCTTTATCTAGCAACCAGTTGAAGCTGCCTTTTTAAAAAAATTTTTTTAGCATTATTTATAATGTACTATTATAGTATTTAATAATGGTTTTGTTGAATGATGAATCATTAGCTTTTATTTTTATATTTTCAGTTTTTATTTAAATTTTAGTGCAACTTTTTAGTGTAAGTTTTGGTTATTTTATGTGATTTGTCTTTTTTTATATATATTTTAAATATGTTTATTTAGATTTTATTTTTTACTTTAATTTTAGTACTTTGACTTAAGCTTATTTAAGTTAGTTGCCAAGGTAATATTTCTTTTTTTTTTTAGTTAAAATTTGTAATCTCTAATATATATTAGATATAATAATATATTAAATATTTAAAATATTTTTAATATTTTATTTTATATTCAACTTTATTTCAATTAATGGAATTTAAAAAAAAATTTGTTTTACGTTTTAGTTAACAATAAAACACTGGTTAACAACAATGGCAACAATAACAAATAATAGATAAATTTGAATGCATAGAGATGCTCTGGAGACTGAACTTGACTCTTTTTGACTATCCAATCAATTCCTGTTTCCTGATCAAATCAAGTCTCATTTTTTTCTCATTAAATATCCTGTTTCACTCATAAATATTGCATTATGGAAGTACAATGGGTTGCAACTGCCATTTCATGTTGACTTAAAATCAATGATTTGTCATTTTATTTAACCCCTTAATGTCTCAGGCTGATATTTCAGATGAGTTCTTGTCTTGAAATCAGCGCTGTGTTCCTCTTC